AAAAAAACTGTGCTTTTATAAGCAGTGAGATTCATTCGATATTTTCCTCAGATAATTCCTCAAAAACATTTTCAGATTAATTTCGTTTTCCATTTCGCAATCAGGAAGTTGTTAGCTGTTGTAAAGATTTTAGGAGCTCCTTCTGAGATAAATTTGTCTCGCTGCGACGTTTAAAAAAAGGTTTTGAAAAATGAACCTATTTTCACATGAATGCCAGGATTATTTTGTGGCGTGCTGACATGAAAATAAATTTTTTTGGAGAACCTTTTATAGAAGGTATGCCCGAGACTCGCGGGCCGGGTCACAGCGGGAGCTCGGGCCGGTGGCCTTTTATGCTTCCGTTATAGAGAAACCATTTCGTTTCCTCCAAAAAGAAATGGTTCTTCTGAAAATGTTCTTCTAAATGAACTTTCTTATATTGCTTTGCGGCTTTTTCCTCCGTTTGTGTCACTCGGAGTGAAATATTAACCGCGCGAAACCGAAAATTGGGTTCGATTGCATGAATATACTATTGCTGATTTTTTCAAATGGGATTCTTATAAAAATGGTTCTTGTTTCTGTAAAAGTTTTCAAGAGGAGAAAGACTTCGTATAATTGATGTTAGAATTTGCAAAAATTATTTTATTACTGACCTTGGAATATTTTTTGCGGTTTCTTCGCACTCTAAGCGAAAATTGTAAAAATTGAGGCGCTGAATTCTTCGGGAAATTCTTCAACTTCGTGCCGGAAAAAATGAGAATATTGAGACGTTTTCGGATTTAAAAAAAATATTTTGAAGAATTGTTGTTAATTTCTTGCTTGGAATTTGTTCAGGGTGCCTCCAATCGTCAGTACATGTAATCCTAGGTGTTGCAAACATTTATTTTCTGATATTTGCGAAAAATGATTCAGATTTTTGCGGAAAGCAGATCAATGCGGCTAAATTTTTTTTTCTCGAAAAGGCAAAGATGTCTTCCTGATTTGACAACTGAAAGAAGGCCTTCAATTTTATTTCGCGGAACTTCACCTGAATAAATACAATCTGAAAACGTCCCAGAATTTTTGAATCGCCCCTTGCACACACATACAGTATATATATACACACTCGATATTGAAGAAAACTTTTAAAAGCAAGTTTCCGCATCATTCCACATTGCAGCTTTTTGAACACCGAGCCAAAGCTTTTGTAAGACCAACAGAAAAGAATAAATTTAACCTTTAAAAAGTAAGGGGGGAAAACGTCCCTTTTTTCCGTCTCTTCTTCCGATAGAGCTTCGACTCACAGCACCTTTTTCTCGCCCTTCTCTGCGTGATGCCGATGCCCAACTTTTCTTGTTATTTTATTTCTGCATTTTTTTTTTTACGCAGAAAAAGAACGCGTAAGAAACGTATGCGTGAAATAAAAGTTTTTCCTACTTTATATTCAATATATATGCCTTATAGCAGTCTGTGACTGTGTGATAAAAAAAAAATGAGAGAAATTTTCATTTATGTGATGCGACGACTCAGACGTGATGGGCTCTTTGAATAAAGCGTCTTTTGAATGGACCCGTATATCGGAGGATTTACAAAATGGCTTCGCTTCTTGCGATGTATTCAAAGATTTCTTTCAAGTTTCAGCCGAGTGATGCTGTATATATAATTAATATTTAAAAAAAAACGCGCTTGGGCATCACCAGAAGCAGTTTTATTCAAAGCTTCGAACGGAAACGGGGACTCAATCTTGATATTGATTTGCATATACTGAATGAAAAATGTGGGAAATCTCAGGCAATTTTTTTTTTGCTGGTACGCTCTGAAATTCGATCTGATGGGTTTCCTTCAGCAGAATTTTAATTGATGTTTGAGTCATTCGTGGAATAAGTGGGATCCATTTGAGCTGTATTTTATATTCGAAACATATTTTCATTGAATTCTATGGAGGAATGTTTTTCCAATTTTTTTCGTCCGCCATTCAAATTTTACGGATTGGTATTCTATCATCGAATGATAAAATTTTTATATTTGCCTGTTTAACTAAGTTGTCTTTTCGATTCCCCACTATTTTAGAACAACCTCCAAAATATATTTGCTTGTTGATAAACACCGTTGAAATATACTGTTCTCATCGTAACGTGATATCATTAAAATTGCATTCATAAATAAAAACGCGAGTTAAACAAGAAACTCGAAGAAAACAATGCCTGGAAGTATCATGGAACTCGTTTTTTTCCCTCTGAAGCTAAAAAGTAGATGGACAAGATTTTGGAAAAACCCCCGTGCATATAAATTTTGAAAAAGAAACCAAGAATTCCAAATTTTGCAGATCTTGTGGATACAAAAATTTAGAATGATTCGTTATCTTCAATTCTTTCTCTCAGACTTCATAACGTGGCCTGGGGAATATTCAGTAGCAATATTACATATTCCATAATATAATATACTGTACCAATATACAGAATGTTGAAATTCAGATAATCTGAATTTTGTATAAATGAAGGGAATCCAAATCCAATTGCTTGTATTTTTTGAAATTTATTCTTTCATACTCGTTTATTGTATTATTATAATTTTCTCTCGGGCACAGTTTTCAAATAATGTATCAAGATATGGGAACTGATGAAAGTTCTAACGAAAAAATACATTATGTTCAACATTTGTACTGTGCACAGCTTGAAAAAAGACGAGATAATCTCATTGACATGAAATAAAAAATAAAGCTTGTTAAAAATGCATTCAAGCTTTTTCTCATCCGTAACGTGCTTTTTGTGGTTTTCATATCGTATTTTTTGCAGCTACGTTGTACAGTATATACAACGAAATTCAAGGGATTTGAAAAAATGCGTTGTAGATGGAATTTCGTTGTATAGAGAACCCCACGAACATCAACATGAGAAAAGAACTTAATGGGACATAGGACAAATTCGTTATACCGAGAATATCGTTTCAGACGAGACTGTTGTAGAGAGAGAGCTCACTGTAGCAATACTGTATATTTGCCTTTTCAATTTCTAAACTCCTTTAAATGCAAAAAGAACGGATTCGGAGTAGTTTTCTTCCGCAAAATTATTTTCCGCACTTTGAAGTCGACACAAATCTTTATTGAATTCTTCGGTGGACTTTTTCCTCCGATTTGTTTCTTTATCAAAATTGAGAATTGTATTAAAATTTTGAAGTCGAGGTGAATGTGATCCAACATGTAGATGTTTTTTTACATTTCGACATGTTTTGAGAAACGCATTAAGGTTTGCATAACTTGCAGATGGCGTAAAGAGGAAAGAATGCAGCACAAAGAAGGCAAAATAAAGAAGTAAATATCAGCAATGGAAAGGGGAATTTTGTTTTTCTGCTGTCAGACATTGGGGCAATGTCATTTGCATCACGTTGGGAATGCATTTTGACAATGGCTATTGAATTGGAGGCAATATGTTGCCTTTTTTATTATAGACGTTGTTGTTGGGCATTGGCAACCCACTGCTGCACATGCGTTGGCCAATGGCAGGCAAAACGTGAGGGCATTCAATGTTGATGACCAACTTGACATTGCAACAACATTCTTGCCCCAACACCTTGCCAACGCATTGCCAATTAGAGCTGCAAAGTCCCCATTCTTTGCTGGCTCAGGGCCCCACTGTATATTACCCGTATATTCAATTTTTGTTTTTAATTGCATCTTTCTGTTTGTCTTTTTTTCTTTTCAAGTCGTGGACGACAGCCTCATCAGCCAGAGTCGCTTCAGCTGCAGAGAGCAAGCAGGAGCCGGACTTCGACAGGTGGGTCAAGGCGAGCATTGGTCAAGTCGGGTCAGGCGAACCCCAGGATTGTCAGCAGCACCAGCAGAAGTCGACGACCGGGCAATAACAGGAACGACGTTGCTTCTCCTAGCACAGACTACGTGTTGGTTAGCACTGAGGAAGATCTAGTGAACCAGCGACGAGTAAGAAAACCAAAGTTTTTATTTGCGAAAAAAATAAACGAAGTTTTGAAATCCTTTTAATTTTTGGTCAGCTGTATGTATGTGGTGTGGAAAATCCATAATTTCTAAACCCCTCTTCATTCTTAGTCAATTATGTAAAGTGAAAAATGCATAGTTTTGAAACCCTCTTAATTCTTGGCCAGCAGTTTTTACTGTACTATTGTACGTATGTTGCAAAAAATGCATAGTTTTTAAAACCTATTAATTTATCGTCAGTTGTGTTCTTATGTATTGCGAAAAATTCAAACTGTGAAACCGTCTCACTTTTCAGTCAGTTATGCACTGTGAGAAATGCATAGTTTCGAAACCCTCTTAGTTTTTGGTTAGTTCTGTACAGCTTCTTATTTGTTGGAAATCATGCTTATGTAAATAATAGTAATAGAAGCAAGTCTGCAGTCGTTAAAAACTTCAAAACCACAAAAAGCATATGGTCACATACTGACCCTAACATAATACAGTCCGTAACAATTGATCAAAGATGCTGCAAATTTGTAGAGGAACGCCAATTCAATGAATACGTTTCTTCTAATTTGCCGAAATTTATGCAACCCCAGCTTCAGGATGCATAAACGTTTCGCAGTTGCTCAATCTCGAAAATTTTGCATATTCAGTACCTATAAAAAAAGTAAAAAGATGATGATGATCAGAATCGTGATCCATGTCCACGACGAAAAACAAAGATTTTTTTACCTATTTATTTTTCTCTTGTATTTTTTTCGAACGCCTTTTTGTAAATTTAAAAAATAAAGAAACGATTAATTTTGAACAAAAGAGAATGTAGGTGTAAAACATTTACGCACATTTTCCTGATGAAGTACTACAGTATTTCATAAAAATAAAGTTCTGCAACTGAAATAAAAATATTGCTTGATTATTTGTTCGATTTTTCAAATTTAAAAAATTTTTCTCAAGCTGCCAAAATATTCGCAACTTAAATAATTTCTTGACAAAAGGAGAGCGAGAGAGACTTCGAATATATCAACTGTATTATCTATTTTCGAAATTAAACTTCGATGGGTTACTGTCGGGGACTATTTTTTACATTGATATGTCCATCATGACGAGCAGAGAAAGAAGGAGGCGGAGGACTTGATCTCGCCGTCGGCCGACAGCACTCGCCACTCCTCGTCAGTAGTGGCACTCAGCCCGGACGACACCAATAAGTCGCGCAGCCGCAGCGCACTTAGCCACGACGCACTTAGCGGACCGAGACCGAGCAGCGGAGGCGGCGGCGGCTGCGACGGCGACGGCGACGGCGGCGACGCAGACGCAGACGAAGAAGACGACGACGAGGACGGTCAAGGCGGCGGGGTCCGGCTCGTCGTCATCCGAGGCCGGGGCTCGTCCACGTCTGTCCCTGGCGGCGGCGGTAGCCGTGTTGCAGCGGTACTCGGCGGCGGCGGCGGCGGCGGTGGTAGCGGCGGCGACGGCACAATGAAGTGCCCGACTTGGTTGCGGAAAAACGCGCTCACTTTAGCGACGGTGAGCGGGGTTTTGGGCGGTGTGGCGTTCGGGTTCATGTTGCGAGCGAGTCGCGAGGAGCGATGGACGCCACGAGAGGCCATGTACGTGTCCTACGTGGGAGAGCTGTTCCTGCGCATGCTCAAGTGCCTCATCCTCCCGCTCATTGTGTCGAGGTGACATTTATTTTCATTGATTCATTTCTAATTCCTTATCTTCACCTGCTGCAATACTTGTTTTTACCCATGTATGTATGTATGGCAAAGTTGGGATATTTTTGCAAAATTGTGTTCCCAGCATGAGCACTGACAATTGAAAAAATAATATATTTTTGCACCAAGGCAAAAATTGGGGGAAAAGTAAAAAAAAAATTTGTAATCCTGCAGAAAAATGTACCTAAAAAAAATCCTCATTGGGTGGCTTTTTTCAGGAATCCTATGCCTTGCATAGAATTAGCATTGTATACAGTGAGACCCCCAGATGCGGACATAATTGGTGCAGCAAGAGTGTCCCTAAGTTGAATTGTCCCTGTCAAGTCTTGTTTTCCCATAGACTTATATTATATAGTTTTTAAGTGGCGTTTTGCAGAGACATATTCTTCAGGATTCCATGAACAAAAAATCTTGTTTGCCGCTTGAATTTGATTCAGTGAATATCTTTTCAACCCAAAAGGAACAATCAGAAAAAAAGGTGTATCTTGTTTTTCAGGCGCTTGAAAATTTAGTCCAAGTTCAAAAGCATAACAAGGGCAGCAGAAAATTTGATTAGGGTGGAGCCAGTAAGTTTTGATTCCCCGAGGGGTTTTTTTTTTTTTTACTCAACTCTTTTTTTTGTATTACCAAAAAAGGAACTGCTTTATTTGCATAAATGCTGCGCGTGTCTGCATGTATATTTTCATTTGACTCGGTCAGTTTGGTGTCAGCCGTGAGTGGACTGGACTTGTCGCTGAGTGGGAAGATCGGAATGCGAGCAGTGGCGTACTACATGCTGACGACGGTGATGGCGGTCATTCTGGGGCTCATTTTGGTGAGCACGATTCACCCGGGCCAGGGGAATGCGGACGACATCCACCGGGAAGGCGGCGTTCGCAACATCACCACGGCCGACACTCTCATGGACCTGGTGCGGAACGTGTTTCCGCCCAATGTCGTCCAGGCCGCCGTTTTCAGCGTGGGTTTTTTTTCTTTCTTTCTTTATTTTATTTTTTTATGCGTAGTATATTCTGCATGGTGGAAGCTTGTTCATGTGTTGTGCCTCGGATAATGGACTCTTCAGGTCGTGAATGCAGGCTTGAGCAAAAGAAAATAGTCCATTTATCCAAATGAGTGCATTAACTGCTGGGTTTTTATGTTAAGCGATTTTGTGCTGGTGAAATATGGATTCAACAGACTTATGATGAGAATTAAATTGTTTTATAATAAGAATATAAATTTTAAATTAATATCTTGTTTTAAAAATCGTTTTATTCTGATGTTTTGTTCAGAATCTAGCAGTCTTAAAAGGACTCGCTGCAGTTATTGGCCAAAAAATCATTTTTTAGCCTTAACATGACATTATTGTTGAGGGAAAAATTGTTTCTTTTTTCTTATGGCTCTTTTTGAATCAGATTTTATCATATGCAGATATCATCAAGAACTTCCTCGTTTAAAGAGCATGAGTTTTTGATTTCTTCAACGCAAGGTTTTTGCTCTTCTGCTGGCAAATCATAACATTTGCAATCAAATTCATGTTTTTTGATTAAACTTGACATTTAATTCCTGTATGGACTGCCAGATCCGTTTCTTGATTTAATCTGGTGCTAGTTTAATGAAAAACTTAATTATTCAATTAGGGGTTTTTTCAATCGAAAAATCGGTGGTGAAATACAGGATTAGACATTCCTGGAATCATGGAAAAAAAGTACACATAATCAAAAATTAGTTTGTTGTAATGATTCTGAAATTTTTTTAAAACAAGAAGAAAATGTGCACTGAAAAACTGTAACTTGAAAACCATGTTTTTGAGCAGCATTAAATTGAGTAAACATTGCATCTCCACATGAGGCACACACTCCAATTTCCAATGAAAAATTTTCACTGTTTACAAATTACAATGGCTATTATGATCAATTCATGCTTGAATAAAAAGCAAATTTTATTTTTGCAGAAAAGTTTTGGAAAATTTGCCAGTCTGTGGGTCCAGAAAGGTTGGGGAACACTGATATAGGAGACCCCCTGGGCATGTGTCTCGGGTTCGTTATGTGTCAGATGCGCGTGTTATTGACGATGACGATGATGATGAAGATGAGGAGG